AATTTCTTTTGGTATAATTAATGCATGTGGTTGATCGCTCATTTAGTAATATTTTTATGTCCCCAAGGTAATGTATCTACTCTATTTTCACATACAAATCTTTTATCATCTTTATTACTTAAAGCTAATTTGTTAATTCTCACTGTGTATAATTCATGTTTAAAACTTCTAATACATGTCATCTCTCTATATTGTTCCACATCATCAAACAAACATTTCTTAAAATCATTCATATTAATTGTCTTATTTACAACACTTTTCTTGATACCTTTACATTTTACAGGATTTTTATTGTTAAATTCATAACTATATAATTTTGATCTTAATCCACAATATTCTTCTAAAATTTCACCATTCAATTCATCTTTAAATTTTCCAATTACCTTTTTATTCTTTTCATTAAAACATTCATGATCTTTCTTATAATCACTTGTATCGAAATCATTTATATTTTCTTTAATAATTTTATAAGGATCTTTCTTTAATTCCACAAAGTAACTATCAGTGTCCATATATAATAGTTTTACATTTGGATCAAATTTCTTCAACTTTTCATAATAAAATTCATACATCAATAGCTTTAATAATTCTAAAACTGAAAATCCTATATTAATTGGTTTATCAAATTTTACTTTTTCTTTAATCATGTGAGAAGCAATACAATCGGTATCAAATATCTTAAATGTTTTAAAGTTTGGTTTTTTAGCTAGTTTTAATGAATATTCTTCATTACCTAATTTTATATCACATCTATTTCTAACATTTTCCATTGTCTTACCAAATACGGAATTATTCATTAATTTGAAGAAGTCTTTTTCAAAATCTGACTTTGATTGAGCTCTTAATTTTGTGTTCAGTTTTATATATTTTTCCATATAGTTATCTTGATCAAATGCAATTACTCGATTTACTCTTTTTAATTCTAGACCTTGTTTTAGGTAATATTTTAAGTTTCTTGAATGAACCACATAGTCTTTTTTATCAAATAATGTAGTACAAAGCTTATTATTATAATGTTCAGGAGCTAATGGTAAATCCTTGTGATTATCATGTAATTCCTTTGGATATTCTAAATCAACATCTAATATATAGCCATAATCAGCATTTTCATCTAATTCTAATATAGTTTCTTTCCATTCATTAGTTGTATATACATTTGGATTCATCCATTTAATATCTTTATATGGTAGTTTTTGACTTAAGGCCCATCCATATAAATTGTTTGCATCTACATATAACATGTAATTTTCAGGTTTATTAGGATCATAATTTTTGGTATATTTGTTATTTGCTTTACAATACCTTGTAACACATTGAGAAATTCCACCTCTTATACCTTTTTCAATCATCAAATACATATCATAATCGCTTATCAATTCTAATTCTATTTTTGTTAATTTTAACATAGAGTCCCATGCTAATGATGGTGATGTTAAATAATGTGCAGGATCTAATTGATAGTTCTTTAAACAAACTGATCTAAAATTTTCAAATATATCAGCTAATAATAAAACATCTTGAATATTGTATAAATCAGAATAATTTCCTAGGTTTTTAACTTTTAATTTGTTCCACACTTTTAAATAATGTTTATAGTCTTCATCACTTATATTTTCATCTGTCAAACAGCTATAAAATTTATCTTTATCTAATATTTTATCATAATTTAATTTTTTAATATCATCTATAAACTCATAAGGAAATATACCTTTAGAAGATAATATTTTAAATGTTTCATCATCTTTTTCAATTATATCAATGTTCTTTATAAATTTAGTCAAGTGTTTAAATTCTTTCAGATTTTTAGCTAACTTGTCAATTGATGAGGCCATAAATCTAAACGTATCTACAAATGAGAATTTTACAAATTTTCTAGGTTTATCATCTTCAAATTCATAACCATATCCTGAATTAACTGAATAATTTATATATTTTTCATCAGTATTTGCTATTAAATCAATTTTACCATATTTTTTAGCTAATTCTTTAATAAACAAATGTGTATCATAGTTTGAACTATTATGACAAAACACAGGTATATTTTGTGGAAATTTTAGATTTAAATTACAACTCGAATGTGCTGCACCTCTAAATTTTCCTGTTAAATGACAGTGATCTCTAACTTTTGTTCTTCCATCACCATCAAAACCTATATTTTCACAAATGTGACAAACATTAGTTTGTTGATATTCAAATTCTTCATCTGTAGTTAAATTCATAGGCTTTTTGTTTTTTGAATTATATTTTTTGGAAATATATTTTGAAATCATATCCAAATATTCAAATAATTTATTTGGCATATTTTTCAACTCTTCATCTGTTTTTGCTCTATAACAAATTGGTTTATATATTTTATTAGTCACTCTAGAAACTAAATAAATTGTGAATCCATAAGGTATATGTTTCTGAATTTTATTTGTATATGAGTTATTTGGATTATTTTCACAAGTATTAATCTTTTTCAGAATGCTTTCAAAATCCATATAAATTACAAAAGGATGTTCAAGTTTTTTATAATAATTTTCAAATTTAACAGTTTCACCAGAAAATGGCATAATTGGTCGACAAGGTTCAAGAGATTTACAAATTATTAAATGTTCACTTAAATCTTTGTTTTTGTAAACATGTGTTAAACATCTTCTACAAATGAATTTCTTATGTCTATTACTTTTTGTTAATTGAGTAGAAACAAATTTACTTAAATCTGTTATCAAAACATAATGTGAATTATTATCATTTTTTATATACAATAGATCAATATCTAATCTCGCATTGTAATTTTCAGATATTTGTAATGGAACAATCTTTTTATCTTCATCAAATCTGTATACATTAATTGACATGGATGGATAATTATATTTAGAATCAAATGATCTTTTTTCAAATAATTTTATATCTTTTAAACTCATTGGATAATCAAATTCTTTAAACATTTCATCATTCATGTAATTTTTATATTGTTTTACTCTATGTGGATGATCAAACTTTTTATCTTCATATTTATCAATAGCACATCTAATTGCATAAATAAAACAATATTCATCTTTATTTTTGAAATTTATACAACACTTTTTATTTTTTATTTCAATTGGTAATTCAACATATGAACCACCATTTAATGAATTATGTTTACTTAGTTTTAAATTTAAATCTAAACATCTTTTTAATGACCAACCAGATCCTTTTGATGGTTGATTTAAATTTTCTCTTAATATTAATTTTTTGAATTGATCATCAATAAATTCATCAGTGTTTAATATATCTGAACTTCTTAAAGGATAATACATTTGGGTTTTTTGACTATCACCATTCACTAATTGTCTTTCATATTCACAAGATAATGATAACTGACCTCTTTTATTTTTAAATTCTTGTTTTTCAATCAATTTTTTAATTTCATTTCTTTGTGATTCTAAATATTCAGATATATCTAAATCATCATTGGAATTTGTTAAATAATACTCTTGAAAATAACCTTTTAATGATGACACTTCCTGAATATTTATTACATTTTCCTTTGGAATTGGTTTATTTTTTAAATGATCAGTTAATAATCCAATCAATTCTTTTCTAGTTTTATCTTTTATTTTAATACCATTTTTAATTGATAGATTTTGAATAAATTGTAATGATCTATATTTTAGATTATTAGGATTTTGTTTGATATTATTTAATCGGTTATTGTTCAGTTTCCACAACTCACCTAAAACGCACTTAAAAACGTTCTTAAACTGTTCTTTGACATCAATACTACAACTCGCTTAAATAACTTTTTTGTCGCCGAGGCTTCCTTACTCGCTAAAATAATTAAACTCGCTAAAACATCGAGACAACAGGGTTTTTGTTATCAGCCATTATTCCTACTCACTAGGGGACAGAGTGGGAATCCGGGGTTTTGGGTGGGGGGAAAAAGTCGCTTAAACATCGAGACAAAAGGGTAATTTCATGGGAAGATGGGTAATTTGTACAACGAATATGGGAATTTTTTTTAATTATGCGGGATAAAGTACCTAAAACGGGATAAAAATCAAAATTACTGGGGATAATATCCACATTTTAGGGATTTTATGCACATATCAGGGATAAATGCAATGCCACGTCACTAGGTTTGTTGTCGCGTCGCTATTGGCCAATGATACGTCACTTGGGTTGTTGACGCTTCGCTATTGGCCACTGGTTATGAGTCAGCAAGGCAAAGAGTAATAATTCTCATCATACCAATGGGTTGTAGACTATGTAAAATAACCTCGGAAATACTTTATTTAGGCATGTGGGGAAGGGGAGACGGGGATTATGCGGGTTCGTGGCTGCAATAAGTGTTTTGAAGTTAGGTTAGATTAGTAAGGTAAAGTATAGGTTATAGTTGGCCGGGTTGTTTATTTATGTAAAATCTACAACGTTTTATCACTATTGGAACATTGGCTTAAACAACGAGGCTACGATTTCAAAAATGCTTGCATTTTTGAAATGGTACCGTTGTTTAAGCCAATGTTCCTATAGTGATAAAACGATGTAGATTTTACATAAATAAACAGCCCGGCCAACTATAACCTATACTTTAACTTCACTAATCTAACCTACCTTCAAAGGACTTAGTGCAGCCAAGAACCCGCATAATGTCCGGCCCCCTTCACCACATGTCTTTTCATATTTGTTGTATAATGAGTTTATACAGCAAGTTTGGTTAGGGTTGGTTAGTTTAGAATAGTTTCAATACAAAATACGAATATGAATACTATTACAGCAAGTCTGCATAAGTTTAGTTACTTAACAGCAGTTCTGTCATGGCCGCCTTAGAGGCGGCCGTAAAGGCGGCCGTGGTTCTGCTGTATAGTTTCACTTTAACCAGCGCTTGTCACTTCTGCTAAGTGGTTCGGGACGGTTGTGCTACATGGTAAAAGTTTTTGCGCTGCGATTTGGTGTACTAATAGGGAGTTCGCGGGATCACATAGCTATTTTGGAGGGGATTTCTGGTGAATCCTGGGGGTTTTGCGGGTGATTCCTGGGGTAATTTGCTGTAGTGCTTCGTCTTCGTTAAACCAGTTTTCGCCAGTTTTAGTAGGTTGTTCCGAGATGGCTGACGTAATCGAACCTCAGTGCGATTCTTGCGAAGTGAAGTTTTTGGACAGTGTGCGTAGATCGCGGACTGACATTGTCTTGTTTATGGTTAATCACGGTGTGATGAGCCGGGAAAGTGCTTGCACTCGATGTGGTAATTTGTGCCCGCTGGTCGTGGACGATCTTACTTTTCGTTGTCGGCGCCGGTTGTCGATCAACAAGAAGAGAAAGCGGCAGTGCTCATTCAACGTCTCCGCGCGGGCTGGTACCTTCCTAGAGAACTCTCATTTATCTGTTGAGCAGATATTTGTCTTCGTATCTATTTTTCTTCACCTGAAACCACCTCGTCAGGCCTTCATTCGTCGGGAGCTGGGGATTGCCAGCGCGACCATTGTTGATTGGTACTCGTTCACCCGGGAGGTGTACGTCAATCACATGGTGGACCGTTCGGAGAGGATCGGTGGACCGCAGGCGGTTGTGCAAATTGACGAGGCGAAGTTCGGACGGCGGAAATATAATCGCGGGCGAATTATAGAAGGACAGTGGGTGTTCGGTGGTATTGACGTGAACACGAAGAGGACCTTCCTTGTTCCTGTGGAATCAAGGGACTCTGCGACTTTGCTGGCATTGATTCGCGAGTGGATCCTTCCTGGCACAACAATCATCAGCGACTGCTGGCGGGCGTACGACTGTCTAGGCCAGGAGGGGTTCAGGCATCTTCAAGTCAACCACTCTGTGAACTTCGTTGATCCCGAGACTGGTGCTCACACGAACAATATTGAGCGTGTTTGGAGGGAGGTGCGGGCAACCATCCCCCGGTATGGGATTCGGAAAAAACACTTTGTGGGATATTTGGCCGAATTCCAATTCAAGCAACGGTATTCGCCGCTTGAACGTATCCACCATTTTTTCAAAGCTGCTGGCCAGCTTTACCCTCCACAGCGCTGATGACGTCATCGACTGTTAGAAGGCATTGATTGCGTAAGTGTTTGTACGAGTTGTTTATTGTCAGTTAGGTTCTTAATTCACTTCCTGAAGTGTGGAATTGTGTAAATTGGTGTAATTATGATTTTTTGGACATACTTAGGAAATTAATATTTTCGGTCATATAATGACTTTTCCGCCCATCAGTAAAGTCCAAAACTTCATTAAATACACTTTTTACACAATTTCACACTTCAGGAAGTGCGTTTTAGGTGAGTTGGGGAAACTGAATTTTTACGATTTAATCTTTTAATTAGTTCATCTCTATTTAAATTGTCAACATTTCTAACAGACAATTTGTTAGCAATTTCTTTTAATTTTTCACTGTTAAACAGTGAATAATTTGTTGGATCATATGACTTCTTTAATTCTTTTAATTGATCTAAATTTTCGTTTTGATAATCAACTATTTTATTTTGTTTACACCAAAGTTTTAAGTTATTAACTTCAGTTTTATATTTAGTTTTATTTTCAAAATGTTTCTTTGAATTATAATGTCTATTATAATTTTTAGATAATATATTCTTATTACAATAAGGGCATAATATATTTTTATTTGTACGCTCCATTTATTAGGAGAAAAATTTGCACGATTTATTAAGAATAATTTTTACTTAGAAAATATGTTTTTATAAAATATGAATATTAAGATAAATATTTATATGTTAATTCAAAAATTATAAAATATTTGAAATAAAACTTAAACTTTTTTAAAACCAGTAATTTTTTTTAATAATACTTTCAAAAATTAATATTATTTTTATGAATTTTGTAATTTATTTATGTTTTTATTATGAATTTTAGTTTGTAAATGTTTTTGAAGATAACTAAGCCATTTTAAATCTCTACCACATTCACAATGGGTTGTGACTCTCACCATTTTTCTAACACATTCAATACAAATTGCAAATTTTGTATCTTTACTATAATAATGTTTATGAAAATTTTCCATATCTTTTGTTTCCTTACAATTCAAACATACTTTTTCACTTTTTTCTTCTACTATAATATTATCATATAACTTTTTTCTATAAATTAAATCACATTCTTTACAATATGAAAGTAATCCATCTTTATATTTTTTATTTTTATAAAAATTATTAATATTTTTTAATTGTTTACACTTTGAACATTCCTTCTCCATTTATATAGTATAAAATTTTACAAATTAGTTTTCTTCAATTCGTAATCATAAAAACTACCAAGTATATCTTCATCATTCAAGTCTTTAATACTATATGTAACAGGATTTGTATTATTAATTCTGGAAACAACAAATATTTCTCTTGACCAATTGTTTTTATATTTATTTGAAAAAGTTGATTTTTTGTTTCCTATTCTAACTCTATCATTTATTTTAAATTTAGATTTTGTAATTATTTTTGGTGGGATATATTTAAAAACTGTATTTAATAAATCATTTTCATTTTCTTTATTTACCTCAATTGGTTTCATTTTAATTGTTGAATGATATGAATTATTATATTCTTTAACTATTTCTTTAAGAATATCAATCCATCTAAAATTTTTATTAATTTCAAATAAAACTTTCATTTTTTCATTTTGAGTCCTATTATATCTTTCAATAATACTTGATTTTTCTTCATTTTCTGTATGATACATTTTAATATTACATTTCTTTAAAATTCCATTAAATTCTTTATTTACAAATTCTAATCCTTTGTCTGTATGTAATAAGTTTGGTGGTTTATGGCCAATTTTTATTGAATCTTTAATTATTTGTTCAAATGCTATAGATACATGTTTTCCATCTTTTTTCTTCAATGGTTTTGACCAAACATATTTAGAAAATGTATCAATAACATTCAACATGTATTTATAACCATCATTTTCTTTTTCATAATTTTTCATAATGATTAAATCAGCTGCCCATAAATCATCAATACCTAATGTAACTATTTTTCTTTTTCGAAATTTTTTTCTTATTAGAGCATGAATTTCTTTAGCTTCAATTATTTGATCTTTTTTATTTAATTCTTTTTTTATTATTGGTTTAATTTCCTTTTTAATTATTTTACTTTTATTTGTTTTACAAATTGAACATTTAGTAGCAATTCTAAACAAACCATTCTTCATTTCAACAATTTCTGGATTAATATTTTTAGTTTTCTTCTTACATTTATGACACTGAATAAGTTCTTCCATTTAGATATAAACATTTTATATATAAATGGATATATGTTATAGATGTCGTAATTTTAATAACTTTACAATTACTAAAAATTATATAGGATGTAATATATGTAAAACAATTATTTTTGAAAAAAAGATTAATAAACGAAAAAATAAAAACAAACATCTTATAAATATTTTAAGAGAATTTAATCATTTTCAACCATATCGCACACAACAATTAATCAATGAAATCTATACGTTATGTATTTTAGACAATAGTTTTGAAATAACACCTAAAAATATAAAATTATTCTTAAAACAAAGAAATTATACAAACTGGATATTTTACTATCAATTCTTAAACAAAATATTCAATATTGATTTTGAATTAAATTTTGAAGATAAAAGAAATATTACAGTAATTTTTAATGCATATTTCAGTTTTACAAAAAGAAATATATCATTTAAAAAACTATTACCAATGATTTTTAAACTTTTAGAATTAAATTTTTATATAAAACCAGAATTTGATAATATTTTTTTAAAATTCTTAAAACATCTATCAACTTTAAATGATCCATGCATAATATATCAACATAATGGTTTTTCTGATAACATAAGTGATACATCAGATATTATTTAAAAAAATATAATTTTAAATATCACACAACAGTTCTAACAAACTGTTGTGTGATATTTTAAATTCTTTTCATATATTTCAATTATTAACTGTTTAAAATTTCTATAATTATTTTTTGTAATAAATGGATCTATTAGAAGAGATTAATAATATTGGAGAATGTAAATTCAAAGAATATAAACCAATAAAAAGTTTAGAATTGAATACAAAATATAAAATAGAAAAATTTGAAAAAGTTAAAGATAAATACGGACCAACAGTTATTGTTGAATTAGAAAAATATAAAGTTCATTTGCCTCATAGATTTATTAATATATTTGATGAAAAAACAATTAAAGAATTAAATAAAAAAGATTTAAACTTAATTATTACTGAAATTAAAACATTCAAAGATAAAGAAACTGTTTTAGTTAAATTTGTATAAAAACTACTCATTAAATTTTAAAATTTTACTTGTTTTTAAAAACATTTTGTTTTGTAGTCAATTTTATGTAAAATATAGACATATTCATGAAAATTTCATCAAAATTATATACTTTTTCTAGAAAAATATGAATATGTTAGAAATTGACCTAAAAGGGTAAAAAATATAGCATATTGTATAAAAAAATAGGAAAATTCATTTAATTTTTGAGTGGCTCCTTTTTTGGCCCAGAAGTGACATGAATATATCTACTTATATATATATATATATATGATCGGTGAAACGAGGTGGGCGAAAGGACACTGACTTAAGTTAAGTTAATCTTTTAGTGATAGTAGTCATTTCCTAAAATTCTGAAGATCTATTACTAGCTACCCTAAATTGAACTTAACTTTATCCATCCACATAATGTATGAATGGTTCAAATTTTCAATTTTCATTGATTGACTGTAGGTCATCGTAAATGTTGACAAAGAAAACCTAAATAAAGGCAGAGAGGCAGTTAAGGGTTAAACTAGAGGGGTTGTTCTCGTATCGAGATATATTGCACTTCTGAGTCTAACGTTCGCCAGAAATTGGGGCATAAATCTTGTCTTAGCTTTCCAAGTGGCTTTCACGCTCTATTTAGATTTCTCGTCTAAGATTTTATAGACGATAACTATACTACGTGATTGGTTGTGATTGCTAGGACAGTTTGCTAAAGAATTAATAATGGAAGTTTAAAAACTGTTAGTGAAGTTAAAAAAGCACAGCAGTTTTTGGTCAATTATATCAATTATTTAAGATGAGGACGTCACTATGTGAGTACTTTAACCCGAATATGGGTGAAGGATGAGTGTAGAATGAGTGGCGCGATCTTGTAGTATTGTTAGGGACTAAAGCCGACATATTCCTTAGACACAGCTGTTAATTAATAGCCCATACAGCTAATGGCAACTAAGGGACCTACAGTTTATAGTGGAATCCGAACACCATTTTGCCTTGGTATTAACGAATTAGTCGAATTATCAGGATAGTACTAGCCGTAGTACTCACTCATGCGGACGTTAATCCAAACCAGAGAGTATCGCATCCACAGTACTTGCCCATAAATATCCACGATTCGTGACCTCCTAGTAGTTGGATTACAGGACGGCGCCACCCGTCCCAGTCAGGTGGAAACGGTGGAAAATCCGTAACAAGTACATTGTATTCACAGAAGATTAGTAAAATTTCTTACCATACTACTTTTCAACGAACGATTTTTTTTTGTTAGCCAAATAATAAAGCTTAGTTTTTCTCATTATTGTTGCCAAAGTTAATAAATGCATATTGTGACCTAAAATTAAAATGGTAGAGTAGCAGATACAGTCAACAATTGGACAACGTTGGCTAACACTGGATCTCTCGTTTTCACATTACCCCGTTAGTCCAGTCAATAAAGGGATTGTAGAGGACATGGAGAGGGGGAAATTTTTTTTCTGCGGGAATGTGTTCGGGGTAGTTAGAAGATAAAAATACCAAAAGTCCCCGCCCCTGGCCCTGCTGCTTCAGCGGGGGGAGGGGGGGAAAGACCCCATTTTTTAGTTTTTTACTTCTACACTGAAAACCGTGCATCGTACGGAAAAAATGTAAATTACAAAAAGAAAGATGATAAAATTTTCTACAAGAATGGTTATATTCATTTCTTACGTATATGCATTAGTTTAAAAGATATTCTCAAAATAATATAAAAATTCTTCAATAAATTGATTTTTCACGCGTTTTTTGTCAAATAAGTTTATATAATCCATTAGCCTGTTGTTGTTTCACATCAATCAGGATAGAAAACAGGTTTTTGAACACTAACCTATATAATATAATATATCAATCGTATATATTGTGTTAAAAATTGTTTATATAAATTTAAATAAGTTATATATATTTGTCATGGAAACAAGTAATTTTTGCATA